ACAGAAGGGTATAGTTTCTAGTTGTAGTAGAAATTATACTTACCTGTTGGACACTGCTATAAATCTGTAAAGGATCCCTGTAGCCATGTCATTGTTATAGTACTACTGTTAAGAAGGCCATGGTACTGTAACAGAATAAATAAGTTGTGAAGGATATTTTCTTTCTAAAAATTTTTTTTGAACCATTGCTCCAAATCTACAATATGTGGTTAGAAACTTGATATCTTTAATCATTTCAGGTGAAAACTTTTTTTTTTTTTCAAAAGCAATTATTTCAATATTTAAAAGGTGGTTATATTTGTTCTTAACTTTATTAACCTGGATATTGGAATTCGGATTTTTAAATTTAAAACATGAGATGTTAATAAGAAATGGACATTTGGTCTTTTTTATAGCTGTATCCTTTTTTTTGATTTAGAATTATAAGAACTACTATGATTACACAAATATGTACGTCATCAAATAATTTTTTCTTCACATTGCATATGATCTTTCTTTATATGAAAACTATTTTTTTTTTGACCATTCAGTAATAAAAAGATCACATTTATCCCATGTTAAAAAAACTTTTTCACAGAAAATTTTAGAATTTGTAACCTTATTGAAAAAAAATTAGATTGGTCAGATCTATCTACTTGAGTTATATTGTCATCATTATCATCATCTTGAGACACCTCATTTCCAGAAGACACTTCTTCAAATTTAGATTTTTTAGTCATATTAACATTGAGAAAACCTTCCTCTTCAATCATATCTCTATTACAAATGAATTAAAAGAGGCAAAAAAAAAATTAATCACTATATCATAAACAAATTAGTGAAGTGATCAATAAAAAAATATGCGTATCTGACTATAATAAAGATTAGCTGTTAGATGTTGAATGATACAAAATAAAGTGACCAAGAAAAAAAATGCATTGCGTTAGATGTTGAATAATAAAAAACGAAGTGATCAAAAAAAAGTTGCAATAAATTAGTTAGTTATTGAGTGAAGTTGAATGATGCAAATGAAGTTAAACGATACAAAGCGAAGTCGAATGATACAAAGCAAAGCTGAACAATACAAAACAAAGTAAAGTGACAAAGAAAAAAAAGTACAATTAATTAGTTGTTGAATGACAAAAAGCAAAGTCAAATGATCAAAATGAAGTGATCAAAGAAAAAAAAATAATACAATTTTAAACGATACAAAGTGAAGTGATCAAAGAAAAAAAAATAATACAATTTTAAACGATACAAAGTGAAGTGACCAAAGAAAAAAAATACAATATATTAGAGTTAAACGATATAAAGCAAAGTAACAAAAAAATATATATACCTAACTACAATGCAAATAATTCTAATGATAGAATAAAAATATGTGTTGATCAAAGAAAAAAAATAATACAACATGTTAGGTTTTGAATGATACAAAGCAAAGCGACCAAAGAAAAAAAAATACAATGTATTAGATGTTGAACGATATAAAGTGAAGTGAAATATATGCCTAACTACAATGCAAATGATTCCAATGATAGAATAAAAATGTGTATTGGTTGAATAATGCAACGCATTAAATACAAAGCAAAATGGTTATAGAAAAAAATACAATACAACTAAAATAA